CATCCAGCAGCATGTTTCCGTTCGTCCTGAGATGCAATTCCACCACTCTGCTGAAACTGTCGTTGGATGAATTAAATTTGACACGTCCCGAAGCAACGCAAGAAAACCTTCCCTGCTCTGTGGGACCATGCGAGTACGTTGGCCTTCGCCATAAAGTTTGGCAGCAATGCAGGCAATTCCAGAGAGTTCTTTCGGGCCAAATCGTGCGCAAAGCGTGCATTGCCATCAGGACTCTCGGGCAGCTTTCGTCCTGAAGATCAGGGCCGCTTGCCTGGCTGAGGGGTTGGGGATTCACAGCGGGTTTTTCAGGCTTAGGGTTTGGGATGGGCACTTTTGGGTTTAATTTTAGTAGTGGATTTGCGGCACAGGGCTTCAGAGTTTCTCGTGCGTCCCCGAAGCGCAGGAGGTCCTCGCGCCGTACCTGGAAGTGAAGGCACCGGAAGCCCTGGCGACACGCTTGCGGGAGAGCCGACCCCCGGAGGCCCTCACCGAAGTGCGTTTGCTCTAAAAAATAGGGAGTGTCAGAAAGTTGGGGACTCTATTACACATGATCCTAATGAACAATCAGGTATTGCAATTTTCTGAAAGCCCCATCCGGAATGCCTTCAAGAGTCGGGGCTCCTAATAATCCGGCCGAGTGGGGCGTGCGTGGGGGTTTGCTGTGCGGGTGCCTTCAACGGGGATCATAGATAACTGCATGCGCATGTTTTGGCGTAGCCTCTGCTGCACCAGAGTTTGCAACGTGCGGGACATCTTCCGGGCCATGAGGCCTCGCGTTTCGTACACGGTGGCTTAGAAGGGTGGACCCTGGACCAGGCTCTACCGCGAACCCGTCTCCAAACCCGAAGCTCTGCAACCTCAGTCACCCATACGGTCGATGATATAAATCCCGCATGATGTATCCGGGATATGCCAGAATTCCCACAGTTCAGGGTCCTTAGGGGTAATGCAGGAGTTATATCATCAACGTAGCGCCGGCAAAGCTCAACTCAGCCTTCTCAGATTCAGATGCTCGAAGGCAGCGCCGGTGACCAAAGCTCGCTTGGCAGAGGTTTCTGCTCCGGCGGCTGCGACGGCAGCTGCCCCGCCGCCGGCGTCCAAGAAGAAACCCAGGGGAAGGGCGAAGTAGGGCGTGGCTCTACGGTTCAGGGTAGCCCCAAGTAAGGGCTTTCGGGGTGCAAAGGGCGGTCTTAAGTAACTTAACATGCCCATGTAACCATGTACATCTTCGGCAGTTTTGTGGGTGTTCCCGAAGGCCCCGAAGCGATAAGCCATGCATTGCTTTTCCTGACCAGTGGGATTCGAAGCCTCCTGGGCTCAGAGCCGAGCCCCAGCCCGGTGTACAGTGTACAGAGAGCCGGGCCTTCAGAAGCGACTTCCGCGCCGGGAACGGAGAAAGGAGCAGCTTACTGTGTTGGGGTGTAGGTTTCGAGTTTTTCGGGCCTCGAGTTTTTCGGGCTTTTGGTGAGGTCTTTGGGAATCATGGGGTTGCTTCCTGAAGCTGTGAAGTGTGTGAGTCCGTTTAGGGTTTCAAGGGAGACGAGACAGGCCTGTATTGGGGATACCATTCGTATTGAAGGTGGTGGTGGCGCCGAAACAGGAGGAAGAGGAAGCGGCAGTATGTGAAGCGGTATGTATCACTAGTAATTATTAGCTGCATGTCTGCCAGGGCGACGGAACCATGAGAGGATATGGTTTTGGGCTTTCCAGCTTTCTTGAGGCTGGCGATGGAGTGCTTGGGGACGCCTTTTTTGCTCTGGACCCTAGAGCCGCAACCCTGGAGATAGGCCCAACCAACATACTTAATAACACTGCAAGTGCAGTTTGGTGATCTTTCCAAGGACCTCGAGGATCTTCGCCTCAGCTGCAGCCTCAGCATGGAGGGATCGAAGGCAAGATCCCCTTCTAGGGCTTCGGGGAGAAGGGTACATCCCATTCCCAGCGTTGAAGAAGTAGTGGCCACAGAATTGAAAGAGCAGTGGTGCTGCAGGTTCAAGGGCCCAAGGGCCCGTGCTAAGTGCTTGTGACTGGGTTGCTCAGCGAATGAATGGTCGTGGGACTGATCATATGCCACAGGCCATTGGCTGCATGGAAAAACGGCATACCCGCTACAGCTGTCTGACTGGTTGGCTGCGTGTGGCTAGTACAGGGTCCAAGGTTGGGGTTGGAGTGTGCCAGGGACACGGAAGCCCCAAGCATCGACGCCTCCACTAACCCAAAAACACGTCAACCCAAAACGAATGCTTGGCCTTGGCATTGTTACATAATCCCTGCAAATTGTTTTCTCAGCACACATGTTCAGTTCAAGCGGGATGACTTTGTTACGTGACGTCCCGCATCGTCCCGCATTCAACCATTATTACACTACTCACCAAGAATCTCGCCTGGCATGTAACGCAGAAAGCCCTAAAACCCTGAAGCAGACACGCCATAAAAAATACTTTAGTCTTTAGTCCGAGCTACCGACCGCCTTTTCTTGGGGCTCGGAAGGATTTCGAGGCAGGGTGGTCGGTGTGGGGCCGAGGACTTGGGGGCTCCAGCCCCTGTAGAGCCCCATTAGAGACAGCACGATTTCCTAGAGCCCTCATAGAACCCTCACGAAAGCACTGCAGAAGCTCTCACCCCGCCAACTCTGAAATTTTCCAGGTTTTGAGTACATGTTGTAGTCTGCCCATGAGAACTTCTAACCAGGAGGTCATTGAACCAAGTGAAGTGGCTCGATTGCATCTGCGAGCCATGTTGGTGTGTTGCTACAACACTTCGGACCTCTCGGGCGCCGAGATCCAGGACTGGCTCGCTACGTGGGCTCTTCTGGGCCTTAACTTTTGGATGTTTGTGGGAGCAGGGCCTTACCGGGGCGCGACCGGAAGCAGGGATGCTTTGTGTGCCTTCCTACCTGTCCGTCTCTTGAAGTTTAACTATGAGAGGAAGAAGAGACATAGCGCGAGCGAGGGAGAGAAGGAGAGAGAACTCGGCGACTTCCTTCAGTGAGGTCGTACTTTGTTGCGCTAGTGTTTTGTGCTTAAGTGGTTAGCAGGCTTTGGCAAGTTGTTTTCATTCAGCTTGTGCGCCTTAACGGGGGCGGACCTGACATCTCCCCGTAATCGCCTTGGATCTGCGGAACGAAAGAGAAAAGGCAGCAACAAGAGCGAGAGAGGCAGGAAGGAGTAAGGGACAGAGGGAAGGATGGCGGGAGTGGAGCGAGCGAGAGAGCGAGGGAGGGGACACCACGACAACATCACCGCATGGTGTGAGTGTGAAAGTTGCAGCCGGAGCCTAAGCACATCCAGCCGTGGGCGTTGGGATGGTACTGGTGGCATCTGACCAAAGCGAGCGCGGCACGCCAGTGTCGAGCCGGAAGTGTTCGCACGTCTCAGGGGGTGGGGGCGTGCCCGAAGCGAGCAGAAGAAGAAGACGAGGGGGGAGCGAGCGAGAGAGACAGAGAGAGGGACAGGGAAAGAGAAGATGCAACAAAAACCACCTATGCCCTAGAGAAAGAAAGAGGAACGAGGAGTGAAAGATGTTGTAAGAGCCTGCAAAGACCACAGGAGGGACACGAGGGTAGGCACGAAGCGACGATACCGAATTCCGAAGCTGGATGAATTCCCTTCGCTCTGAGCATCCTGCAGGCCTACAGCCAAATAGAGTTGAGCGATGAGGCATCGCTTGAGGTTTGAGCTTGCTGATAGAACCTGAAGCCTGTCGCGAGTGAAACCAACACAGCCATACATCCTGACATCCCAAACATTACCTGCACCAGTTCCGTGCTGTCAAACCAGGCTTATCCAAATCGAATCATGGGAGTCTGATGCCCGAGCCCTCAAATACGGAAAAAGGTGTCGATGGGTTTTCCGAAGCCAGGCATGGGCGGGTTGTGGTTGCGGCTGTAGGTTTGTTCTTGAGTCTTTTGTGCTCGTTCTAAGTCGAGGCATCTCATGATTTGTTCACCTTGCCCTTGCTATACATATATATATATATATGTGTTCCGTTGCTGCCATTCTCGCTTTTGTCCTTTTTACTCTTCTGACCACCGCCATCACCGCATCTACCATGCTTCATCTTCGGATCCGAAAACCTTCAGGCGAAGAGGAAAGGGGAGGCCGTCGCGGAGACCAAGGACGGGACTTTCATCCAAGCTTTCTTTTGACGCGGGAGTTGGATAGCGCGTGCAGAACAGCAAGGCTGTTCGGGCCAATGTCCAAGTAAGTACACATGACTACGAGGATGGACAATAGTATCAGGGCTACTTGCCGAAGCAGCCATATACCAGAAGCTCGATTGACCAAGCTTACACCCGGACAAGTTGGCCTTTGGACTGGGTCCGCCGGTTTTGCCAGGCCCAAACATGAAGAACATGTCCCCCGGACAGTTAGGAACCGTACGCCCTCTCTGAGCCCTCCGAACATCGAAACTCGAGGCCTCCTCCACCCCCATCTAAGACCTCTTCAAGTGTCACACCATCCCATCACCTCAAAGCCCCCAGGCGCGGAGCAGAGCCGACAAGTAGCCGGAATTGCATGCTTCGCTTCGCAGGGCCTCCCTCGGTCGTGGTGAGTCTTAGGATTTTGGGACCCTGGGAGTTTGCAGGGCACGCAAGCAGCCAAACCTTCACCAGCCACCCCTATGCTCGAAATTTCGAGCACAAGAACATACCAGAAACCACAACTGAAAAGCCCCAGGCCCCACCAAGACCCCCGAGCCGGAAGCCCTCACCTCCAATCTCCCTATCCCTGCAACCCCTTGTTGGGAACTTCGCCGTGCCATGGCGGCAACACCCGCCGGGGAGGTCGCGGAGGTGCAGTTGGCCTGGGTGTTAGCTCAGGGTTTGTGGATTAGGGCTTTTGGGAGTCAGGGGTTGTGGTTCAACAGCTGTTAGATGATGAAGCAGTCAGACATACGGACTCCCAATCAGCAATTGTCATGGTTCGGGCTTTGAGTGGTTTTTGGGATATTGGAGATGTGCACGTTTTGGTGCTCATAGAGAAGTAGTGGGGAACTCGACCCGAGACCTCGGTGCTTCTTCAACCCACGAAACCAGTATAGACTAGACTAAACCCTAAGCCCTGCACCCTACGTAAACCCTCAGCATGTGGATGTGCCCAGAGAAGCCCGGCGCATGCTCGGTTCTGCCATCATGGCGATGCTAACAAAGCCAACCCTAAACCAAAAACCGAGTGTGAGCGCCGAGACCACCCGATATCCTCCCGTCATCGCCGCCAAAGCATCAAGACAACACCCAAGAGCCCTGCAGCCCCTGGAGTAAGCCGTGGCCGTTTAGCAACGTCAAGATAGCACCAAAAAAGCCCTGCGAATCCTGGGAGCCCCGGAGGCCATCCGCCGCGCGCTGCGGCCCAAAGCATCGGCCTTTGAGCGGTTGGGCCGCGTGGCGGAGCTTGGAAAGCTGTTCGGGCCTAGGAACAGGTTTCCTTTTGAGGAAGACTGTCGGGTTTCTTTAAAGGGTTTAGGTTTACATAGGGTTGAGGGCGTAGGAGGGAGCCAGCAGAGCCCAGTTTCACTTCAAAAAGGGAGTAGGAAGAGGGTTCCATGAGAGTTTAGGGCTTAGAGTTGAAAGTGGTTTAGGGTTTTTTCCAGCCTGCCGGCTCTTCGCCCAAAGCCCGTGCTGAAAAAAAGGGCTTAGGAATAGGGTTCTTTCCGTTCAGGGTTCAAAACAAGGATCTCGGAAGGGTTGTGTCGGGTGTTGCAGGGTTGTAACATAGGGGCCAGACTCCCGAAAATCATGCAAGATTTAGCAAATAACAAAAACCAAAAAAAGGAAGAGCAGGAACACATCACGAGTACGTTTTCTGGCATGGGGAGGTCGGCTTTGGCAGGGGAGCTTTTTCCTGGAAACGAGAACGAAAAAACAAACGACCAACGAAACTAGCAACATGCACGTCTCGGGCACGGCTTTTGCTCGTTCGTTTGTTGGTTTTGCTGTCGAGCTTAAACAGAGTTAGTGCAGTAGGCCAAGGAGCCTACGGAAGGGCCAATGTCCTACTGCCTCGTACCAGAATGCTAGTCATGTCCGAGTGTGAGTGCTGAAACCCTGGCGTTACCGCCTTTTTGCAAGCCGATGATCGACATAGACTTTTCTTTTGAAACAGTAGTCCCTGGACCTGACATCTACGTTCCGGGAACAGTCGCAGACAGGCCACGGCACTACACTGTGAGTCTTGCTGCCTTATGTCTTCTATTATTTGTTTTAGCTAGCTACTCCCTTTGATTCCTGGTGTACTGCCCTGGTATGTCACAGTAGCAATCTCGGACGCTGTACGCCATGCCTGCTTTGCGAGAGTGTGAGTCGAAACCCTAAACCCCTAAACCCCTAACCCCTAAACCCTAACCTTGAGGAGCCTTGCCTGCTTTGTGCGAGTGTGAGAGTCGAAAAACCCTAACCTTGTTTACGGTATCCCCAATCGAAGGGAAGTTCTCTCACATGACCCCGTAGAGCTAACAGTCTGGACTGAGCAGGCCTCCCGGCTGCGGTCTGCGAGGTGTCGGGGGTTTAGGGGTTGTGGGGTTTTAGAGGTTTGGGGGGTTTACAGGGGTGTAGTGTTAGTTAAGGGTTGCCGGTGATCTGGGGTGGTTTAGGGGGTTTGGCAACTGATTGGTCGCGAGCTCCGCTCATGTCTGAATTCAAGGTTACTCCGCTCAGCTATCTAAATACTCGTAGCTTCATACATGAAAAAGAATGGTTCTTGGAATGCGCAAGCTGGAGCCGTGCTTCAGGCGGTTGTCGTCCGCAGAGCCTACCGCACAGCCGCGCTGCTCATTCACCCTGTGGCTTTGCTGAACTTGAACCCTAGCCAACATATCAGGTAGGTAAGCAGGAACATGATGTCGTGCCATTGCTGGAAGATTTTGGATTCTGCAGAGGAAGGATTGCCTGCAAGCGCCCTTGACCACCTCGTGTGGATGTGCACCAGCAAAGGACAAGTGCACACACCCAGATGCAAAGCTGGCCTTTCAAAGGCTCTCTGAGGCGCTGCGTCATGTGGCTAAGCGAAAGACATGGTTTCGCACATTGTCAGCATCAGTTTTGATCGGTCCTACTTGGTCAGTGCCCCATTACGATCGTAAGTCTTCTTATGCTTCGCTTGTGACTTCATTTGGAGGTGACATCACCGCGCAAGGTTGCTGCAGACCGTCAGAAAACACTTGGGCTCAGAACTGACCGAGAATGCCCAAGTACGACCACGAACCACCGCACGGCTTGTTGAGCCTGTGCATTTTCTGTCGAGTTGGTACTTGCGTCATACAAGTTGCAGGCCAGTCGATTCATTGATGTTGGGATGTCTTACTTCGAGTTGTGTGATGCACACCGTGTGCCCATACCCTCCAGCGGACACGAATGCCTTGGAGGCCTTCGACTCTCTCAGCGGGCCAGATGGACAGCAAGAGCAGCTGGACCGATTCTGCGGTTTGGAGGCTTCAGGCAGAACATTCCCACTTCCTAGCATCCCGTCTGAACCCACTCCTAGAAAGACAGGTTCTGAGCTCGCTCACACGGGAGGCGAAAGTCTGAAGTTTAGCACCTTTTCCAGCTAGATCAATTTGTTGTCACCTGGGAGAACGCCTTTACGGCAGCCACACTCTCTTCAAACCATTCCAATGCGTGTTTCCGGAAGCCACATATACATGGTTGAAGATGTACTATCACGGGCAATGAATCATAAACAACCAGTGCTGTACAGATATCTTTCGTTTTCACATTTTATTGGTGTAATTGTGAAGCCTGACAGCGAAATTTGCAGGACCGGTCACGAGGGGGCCGAAGAGACTGGCCAGGCACAAGAAGTTTCTTGTTTTTGATACGGTTCTATAAGAAGTTTTCAGGGTTCCGGGACCACTTGAAGATTCTTGGGCAGTAACAAGCAGGGTCACTGCGCACACTGGGACAAGGACCCGCGAGATTTCGGGCGGTTTGAGGTTGGGGTTGGTCAGGAGGGTCATTCATCGCTCCAGAATCTTCGAAGCCCGGCCCAAGGCAAATCCTGAACCTTAAATCCCGCAGCCAGTATGCCTTGGAAAGCTTTCAACCCAAATCGAATCATGTCGAATCAACCCCCAAACCCAGAAACGTAAATGCCACCTGAGTTGTGAGTAGCAGAGCCTCGCCTGGTCATGGAAAGGGTTTCAGTCGAACTCAGCGGAGACCTCCGAACGAGTTACCACGCATTCTCCGCAATCTAGCATCTCTTATTGGGGAAACTTGTTTTAAGTTGCAATTCATGGAATGCTACAGTAGCCACTGGCTACTCCCCCAAACCAGGGCCGCCCTACCAGCGTGGTGGGGGCTACGACCGTCCAGACAAGCCTGCCCCTCCAGGCTTTGCTCGGGAAGCGCTGGTGGGCTTTTCAGGTTTCGTTGGGTTTAGGGCTTTGGCGGGCAATTCCCGTCAATTGGGGGTTTAAGGGTTTTGGTACTATAAAGTACTATACTAGAATATAACATAAGATCATACTATAATATACTATAACATACTATAATATCAAAGGAGTTTAGGACTTTAGCGCTGGCGGGTTTAGATTTCAGGGTCTAGGGGCTTCTTCTTCTGTTTCGGAGCCTCTTTTCTGACTGCCCAGAAAGTAGGTGTAGAGTTTTGAAGCTACATGACCTACGGTTTGTTTGAGTGTCCAATCAGTTCGGGGCTCCGCCCCGTCTCTGTGCTATCGGCCCTGAGGCCAAGCCATGTTCTAGTATATTATAGGTATTTTATAGTACATTATAGTATATTATACTACATCATCCAATCGGTCGAGCATTGGCAGGTTGCTGGGCCGAACCCTTCGGCGAGCAGCGCTGCGGCCGCGAGCTCCTGGACCTTCTCCCAGGGTTCTTTCCTTTTTTTGGGGGCCTGCTGGGTTTATAGATTATAGAGATTTTGTTTGTGTGTGTGTGTGTCTCTGTGTGGGTTTTATGGGTTTGCGGTTTTGTGAGGTTTGGGATTTCCGTAACCGCCGCCTGCGCTAAGTGCAGTGTAAGTGCACTGAACCTCCGCCCGTCTAGGCCACGGCTCTTTTATGGGGTTGATATGGGGTGTGACTTTCCATGGTGTTGTGGTGTGCCAGGATGAGCCTTCCATGTGCATTCTCACTTTGCCGACTCTTCGAAACGTGTTCGAGTCTGAAAGCGTAAAGCTCTGAAGGCCTAAGCCGCCTCATCAACCCTAAACTGAATCTCCAAGTGTCGGATCGACTTGGCGGTGTGTCGTGGCTTCTTCGCGGGCTGAGGGGCTGGGCGAGGGTTGGTGGGATTCAATGGGTTTCTTGGACGAGAGGGGTTCGTGCAGACCCTATAGTCGGATGCCTCTTCCTAGGTCCCCGTCGACACGCATCCCAAACTGTCTCAGGTTCGAAGAAGAGGTGGATGAGCGCGGGCCGAGAGGCTGAGTGAGATCCGGATACAGAGCCGAAAATCATCTTATCCACTGGAGGAACGTATTGCAGAGGTTTCCAGGGCTGAGTTTATCATCATTGCCTTGGCCATGACATCTCTGACATGTGTGTCGGTGCCCTGCGACCTTTACGGGTCCAAGTCCGAGACTCCAAGCAACAGAGCACTGCGCCCGGTTGGCAGGCGGCAAGTCTTGGTGGGACGCTGGCTTTTCGGAATTCGAACAGTGCCTCGGCCGCGCAGCAGAACACGGGCGGTTTTTAGATACCTATGAGTTCGGCATCGAACATCTATGGCAGTGGCAATTCCAAACAGAATTAGCGTCTCAATGTGGGCAGAGTGCACCCTTGTGGAACGGAAGTCGCGAAGCTTGAGCCCTAGATGGGCAAAGAGTGGCACAGGAGATCGTGATGGTAACGAGGACAATCGTTCCGGGAAGTGGTCTTGACTTGAGCCGTGAGGACACTAGAGCAGTTGGTCACTCGGGGCCGGCGCATGCTTTCTCGCCGCAGCCGTGTCTTCAGCTCTACGAGAGCATCCCATCACCCTATACCCCCGAAGCCCCGAAGCTAAGTAACGTAACGGTCAGTCTGTCAGGCGATTACGAGCTCGGGAGGCAGAGGACAGCCTCGACTGTTTGAGGGTGGGTTTCGACTGAACTACAGCTTTGGTAAGCTCCTACATGAATGCAAAGAGGTCAAGCGAGGTAGGTAACAATCCCGAACAGGACATGTCGCAGACTTTTTGTCGGTTTTAGGTTTGGTTCTGACAGTTCTCTGAGTAGTATGTCGGGGGACTTCATGAGAGATTTGGGCGGGTGTGAGCTTTCCGGTCTCGGGCTAATCCCTGTCATTGCAAGTCATGGATTCTGATTCCAATCCTATCAAATTCCAATCCTCTCAAACCCCGCAGACTCCTAAACCCTCAAACCGTAAGGCCTAAGGCCAAACCCTCCGCAGGAGGTCCGAAAGGAGGCCGTGGATGCTGCCGTGCAGCGTGGTGAGGACTCTCTGGACGCTTACATGTGCCCCAGAAGCGCACATGGCAGATTCAGGTATGAGTGAGCTTTTGGGTCAAAGCAGGGTCCAGGCCGAGGGTTTAGTATGAGACCTTCGGGTTGAAGCAGTAAGTATGATTTGGGAATAGATGCCCAGATGCTGTCGAGGTCTCTTCTCGAGGAAGAGCTAGCGAAGGGCCCTTCGGAGCGGGGCACGAAACGTGCCACGCCCGAGGCGCAGGGGTGAGCAAGCTTTAAGCAAGTTTTAGGCAGTCGCGCTTTCCCGAAATCCTCTAATGGCACATGATGGCACTGATGGCACCACACAAACCCTGCAGCCCTCTACCCCGGGCGTTCCCCGGCTTCGCAAATGTTGGGTTTTGCAAATCGGGAAGGTAGGAGAGAGGAAGTCCAGGGTTTTCTGAAGACCCGGTAGCATTGAGAGGATTCGGGTTACCGGGGGTAGCACTTAAAGCTGTGGGCTTCGGGTGTGCCTCTTGTTTCTGTCCTGGTCCTGGTTGAGTCGCTGCAAACCAGATGCAAAAAACTCTTGCACTTCGTTGAGGATGGGTGTTGGAAGGGTGGAGCGTCGGGTGTGGATTGCATGCTTGAGTTTCCCAGGGAGCCGAATTCTTCCTGTGTTGCCGCATGGCCTGAATTAGGGTATTCGGTCCCAGGGAGAAAGGGGCATATCCTTGGAAAGATCCTCGGGACCTGCAGTTCTATGTAGCCTGCTAGATGCTGTAACGGGTCATCGTTTAGTCATGACCCCTGCTCCAGTGTCTGAGTGGCTTGGGGGGACTGTTCCAGCTTCGACACCTCGACTGCCCAAACATCTGCTATCACCCCTCACGAAGGCTGGGAATCAGGAGGCAGCTCAAAGTACGCCGAGGCTGGGCCTGCATGATGGGATCGCAGCAGCAGGGGCAGTGACCATGACATTATCGCGTCTACAAACAGCGACATCAGATCCACCCTCACCACCGGTCCGCGTGGGAACCCTACTTCCGAAACGGTTCCTTTCAACTCGGGCACAGTGCACGGCAGTGCACAGCAAGAGCTGGCCCCAAGCTGACAGGCACCACGCTGCTAAGCAACTCATGCTTTTGCTGTCATCCTGCGGCAGACGATCACATGAAGCCCACCGGAAGCTCTAGATTTAGGATGTTCCCACATAGAACGCGCAGACCCTGTGCAAGCGCAGCTGGGAGGATGCCTGAGCAGCAGAAAAGCTCCGGCCCGTCCTTTGCGGCCGCCTTTGCCGGGAAGCCGCGAAGGCCTGGACCTGTGCTTCCAAGTGCTGGGTTGTCGGGTTATACAAAAAAGTACACGGGTTCTAGAATGGTGGTATACGTATACGAGTTCTAGAAGAATACTACACGGGGTAGAGGCCATTCTTAAAACAGCATTCGTCCCCCAGTCTGTACCTTGGTCCACCGGAGTTTAAATTCCTCAGTAGCCAAACTGGGCGACCTTAACTCTGCCAAGTTCACAATAAGATCTGCGGTGCGATGAGAAGCACTTTTGCAGACACCTTTGCAAGCCACACCTCGGCCCTTTGCTTTCCAAATATCTACTGGGGGTCTTACAGTTTAGGCTTCAGGGTGGCTGCCAGTCCGACACCACCCTGCTCTGGTTTGGGGGAACTTGTGGCCTGCTCAAGAGCTACTATGGCTGGGCTGGATGTCAGCAGCATGTCGCCGACAGCCAGCAGCAGGGAGTATGCGAGGGCGCTGTGGCGGCATGAAGAGATGCCTTAGCAGCCGGCCGCAGCCAGCTCATCTCATGCTGCACACATTGTCGCATAGCCAGACACTTGCGCTGATCAATACAAAAAATACCACATGTTCACGCTGTCGCCTGCAGTCTAGCAAAATCTAGCAAAGTCTCCGTTTCCACAAGATGTGCAAGACGTCGGAGATGTGCCATCGCTCCAGCGTCTTGCAGCAGCTGGAAACTTGGGCGTGCCCTGGCGCATACGAGCGCTGCTTTGCAAGACCAATGGTTCAGCTCGTGTCCGAGATGTCCGAGGCAATTCCCACACCCTGTCCAGCTCCTCTTCGTGCGGAAGCTGGCGCTGGAGCTCTCTGAGCAGGTGGATGTGGCAGGCGATGCCTCGTCCAGGCGGTTTGCTATTGCTACTATTTGTCTGCTAGCCTGGAGTCTTGTTGCATTCCCAAAGCCAGTGCAGCAGAACGGCATCGTGCCGTTGGTTCAGGTGTGAGCTCGTAGGGGCTAGTTTACAACTTGTCTGCCCCGTGAGACACTACATGTACCTGACACTTGCCATTAAGGTGCCACGAAGTTTCAGATTGCAATAAGCGCCCACAGCAGCCGGCATTGCCGCATGCTGCCTTCGTTGGCATTGACACGGAGAACGGTGAGCACTGTTCTCAGAGCTTTCGATGCGATTTGGCTCTTCCCATGTGACATCTTGGTCTGAGGTCACTGAATTTTTCTCCCACAACGACGCCGACAAATGCAAGCTCTGGTCTGCAGCCGCTCGAGTTTATTGCAACCTTCTTAACTCATGTCTTTGGCATGCGCCTCTGACCCGAGGCAGATTCTGCACAACAGACGGCCTCCCCCTCAGCCACGGCAGTGCTTCGAGCGAGATCTTGGAGTATCTTGGAGTTGGAGACTGGGTTGTTTGATGCAAAAGCTGAGGCCCCGGGAGAACGTCCGTGAACCCCCAGCCTTTTCGGATGCTTGGAAGCCCAGGGACCAGCTGGCCACTGAAACGACTTTCAGTTTGGAGTCTGTCCAGGTCTTTGGCCCGTTTGAGCTTCCAGAGCACGTGTTGCAGCTTGGCATCCAGCGTAGAATTGAGGATGAACACATGCAACGGACTCTTCGAGCGAGCAAGTCTTGAGGCTCAATCTCTTGCCGTACCTTTCTGCGCCCTGTCTGTAACATTAGCGGCTTGCGTCGATGTGGGAGAACCCGAAAGATTGGGCAGCTGGACCTGCCCGAAGGTGGATGACCTCATGGAGTGGCGGGTGACTTCCTGCGCGACGAGAAGTCCCACAGCAGGGAGCTTTGTCCAGTTCTGCCTTTGTCCAGCCCCGTGTGTTATCCATTGCATAGAATCACAGAAGCAGGAAATGCATTACCGCGCAAGCTGAGGTCTTGATACAGCACCTGTCCGAAATGGGCAGGTTGACCAGGCGCGGTTTGGTGGTCATCTCCTGTGCATGTGACACACAACAATTCGTGCACATGAGTGACAATGCGCAGGTCCGAGTCAATCGTTGAATTTTCGGCACAATTCAACCGCGCTGCTAAAGACCCCGCCTTCGAGGGCGAAATAGCAGAGGATGGCAGGCAACTGAAGCTCTTCGATTGTCTCTTGGCCGTTTAATAACAGCATGCACAGCATGATGCAGGGAAGGCAAGTCAATCCACGGAATGCATTTTTCTTCCCAGGTCGCTGGTGGTGCATGAGGCTGGCGTTCGCGGACAAAACTCATTTCCCAGAAAGTGACGTCAACGACATCGTCAGCGCGAACCTTCGAGCTCTCTTGGTGCACTGCCGCGACGGGGATGTTTCTGTGAGGAAACATGCGCACCATCTTCTTGGCAACTATGGGTTTGGTGGCCTGCCTTTTGTGAAGCAGATGATCGCCGAAGCCATGCTTGACCAGATGGAAGACCTGTTGCCAGAGTCTGCCGAAATCAGCAAAGAGGCCTTGAAGCAGGTAATGCAGTGTGCAGAGCATCTTACCAGCGTTCTGCGCGCACTGACGAAGCCTCAGCGTCAGAAGTGGGTGTCCCTGCTGGTCAGAGCCCTCCAAAGTGAGGAGTCATTTCAGGATCAATTCCAAAAGACCCTGTTTTCTGACCTGAAGCTCCTGTGGCGAGTTGATGACGATCCCAGACGAACCTATGCGGAAGCAGAGCAGCAACTGAAGGCTTTCTCAAAGCATGCCAACTGTAGCTATGCTGTGCAGGAAGAGATTTGGAGGCTCCACAACTGCTGACTTCTGTCTCACATAGCCATCCGCTCAACGACAACTGCGGCTAAAAAGGAGAGGGGCGTAATCACAGCTATATCCTCAAAGCCACCTCCAAATTCATCCTTCCCGCTCTGCAAAGGCAAAGTCCAAGGAGTCCAATGTTCAAGTCCAAACTTGTAAAATCGACATTTCATGCCTACGCAGCGACATGCAGCGAACTCGACTTCATGAAGACAGCCGTGTGCCCGGGGTACTAGCTGTTCATCACGGGCTAGAAACAGTTAGCTCCCGCGCCGTGGCCTTGAGCCTGCAAGGGGATAGCTAGTCCGCGTTCTGAACTTCACGACCTGAAAAAAGGGCGAAAAAAAGGAGCCCTATGTGGCGCCAGGAAGGGCCCCCTCGAGTCAGAGCGGCTCCAGGCCCTTTGCCTTCCGCTGCGCCCCGGCCCAGCGGAAGGCGCCGACGCCGACTCCCAGCTCCCGGGTGCCTCGGGGGCGCAGAGCCAGGGTTCCTAGGTTTGGGGTTTCTTGGAGTTGGGGGGGTTTTTGGGTTTCTAGGTTTGGGTTTGGGGTGTTGGGTTTAGGGCTTGAGAGCAGTTTGGGGGTTTTCCGGGCTTCGGGTTTGAGGGCAGCTTGGGGGCTTTAAGCTTGAAGGGTTCAGGCAGGGTTGAGGAGCCGTTCAAGGGTTTGAGTGTTTAGGATGCAGCAAGGTTAGCGGGTTAGAGATCTAGGGGTCAGGGTGTGAGATTGGGTTTTGGGTTTTAGATAGTGTTTAGATTGATGTTTCAGGGTCGAGGGTTTGGGATCTGACATGCAAGCCTGGGGCAAAAAAGGGTTCCAGATCTAAAGGGTTTGTATCCATTGTTCAAGATCTATAGGGCTTCCTTCGGATGGATCTAGGCTGGAGGATCATGGACAAGTGGAGGGTCCAGTCTTGAAGATTTCGGATCTGCAGGGTTTAACATGCAGGGCTTTGGGAGGTGGGATGGGACAACAGCCTCCTAGATCAGTCGCAGGATGAAATTGCTTCGTAGCAGCCCTTCTCGCATGCTTCTTGAAGTTTAGTGAGGAAGTTAGATCGTTTGAGGTCCAAGAAGAATCTTAAGGATTTTCCAAACATCGTGGATTGGGAGCGGGCTTCACTTGGTGATTGAGCCAGGCATCAACAGCCTCCACCGCGGTAGCCGACGCCCTCCTTGGCCATCTCGACTCAGATGGGTCTGAGATTGACGACTAGTTTCCATCCCAACCGACAGTCTTCTGCCCCTTCGCCTCGGAACTCCCCGACCTAAATCCAGAGGCCAGGAACCCGTGGAGCCAAGCGCATGACGATGCCTTTTAGATGTCCCTAACACGTTGATGCCATGTTGGGCGACTCGTCCTTTCAAGAGCTGCCGATGCGAATCTGGGGAACCTGAGCCCCAAAACCCAGGCTTGGATAAGTAGCAACCGGATCCAAGGAGAGCTGAGCAAGTGTATAACTTTATAACCGAGGTGGCCGAAGGTTCCCCAGACCTTGTGTGTAGGATGGACGCTGGGCAGCCACAGACAAAAACAAAAAGGTTTTCGTCACCCTTATCTTTCAATAATGTGCAGAACCCCCCCCAGGGTAAAGAAAGCGGTGTTTCGAGAGTTGTTCGGGTGTCAAGATTCTAGATCTCTTCCGCTTCGATGTGAGCACTCAGCTTAAGAACGCCTTACCCGCCGTATGCGTAAATTCCGAGGCGTTGGGCATCCAAACGCGAGCCCACAGGGTGCAGAAGTCGCTGTTAAAGCATGGCATGGCAGATAAGGGCATGCGGCAGAAAATCCGCAAGCGGAACGCAGAATCAGACATACAGCACAACATGAAGGAACAGGACAAATATCGTGGAGCACGACAGAACAACACAGAAGTGCGGCAGAGCGAACATGAGCTGAAGGCAGCCAAAGCCCGGAGCTCTAAGCAAACCTACAGGGTACGGTGAGGTATGCACCTCAGTAGCTGGCAGGAAGCTCCTCCAGCCTCTCCGCGCCAGCTGGGGGTGCAGGATACGGGGGTTTGGGGCTTCAGGGATTAGGGTTTAGGGTTTAGGGGAGAGGGTTTTGCCTGAAAGGGTTTTCTTGTAGAGCGGAGACCCTAAGCGCTCCACTGGATCTGCAAGGGTAAGGGCCCTTGGCATCCTGGGCCATTTCCGCCGCCTGTTTCGCGGCCCGAGTGGTCACGTGGCTCGCGGGGTTGAAAGCTCTTCTGTTTGTTTTTTTGGGGTGGGGCTGAAGTTCAAGCTTTTTGAGGGCTTGTGCGGGCTAGGGCCTGCAAAAAGCAGCTTCATGTCGGGCTGGCCCTTGCGATGCTCCGGCACAGTCAAGAATTCCAGTAGACCCCCGTCTAGACCGAAAGCCCCGAGGGCACTACCGCAGCTTGTCCAAGCTTCAGAAATTGATTTGGGCTGTGAAAGAGGGCGGAGGGGCGGAAGCAGAAAGAAGCAGAGGTTTGCGAACAAGCCAATGATGTAGTCGCGTAGTCTTGAGTGTAGAATGGCCGATAATGGCCGATAAGGGAACGCAATGGTTGGCAGGACCCGACCAATCCGCGCAAGGCGGGCCGAGGGTGTTTGGGCGTGTGCCCGTGGATTCGGGTTAGGGGTTCAAGATTGGGGGGCGAGGTTCCCTGACTTGAGCCCAGCAGAAAACCGGCAAGGTCCCACTGTGAGGTCAGAGTTCTGGGTTCAAAAGGGCTTAGAGATCGAGATTGGGCAAGCGCAAACGGCGCCGTACGGTGAAGAGCTCCAGACTGTAGAGCAACCCTTATACTCTAAGCCCTAAACCCTAAACCCTATTATTTTTAAAGGGACGGAGCATCAGGCTCTGCGAAGAGCAGCGGGTCTTGGGTATGTATTCCATAGCACGGCCCCAGCAGGAGAAGTCCAAGATGAGCATCATCTTACCAGAGAACCTCGAGGTAGACATCGTGTCTTGGCACCAAGGGAGGCCTCTGCCTCTTGAAGCCAAAGGAGGCGTAGATGAGCCACGAGAAACGGAACACTACTTCCACGAGGTGTAAACAAGCGGAGAGGGTGTGCTGGGCAACAAGCATTCTCAGCCCAGAGCCGAGGTAGAAGTCGTGACTCTTCCGCAATTGGCGAGGTTTCTTCCGAGTTCAGGTTTCACGGCCTTCGGGCTTGTGTAAGATCAGGTTCTGAGGCCTTTGCATTTTTGCGTGCATGGCTTGAAGTTTTAGGTTTCGGGTCATGGCATGGTTTGCAGTTCTTGGGCTGTTGGCTCTGACCCAGGCCACCCCGGTTGACATCAAGGGACTTCCGCCGGGGTCACCGTCACCACTGGATGCGGAAGCTCGGCTGAAGAGGATGAGGTCAAGGGGTGAAGTGTTCAAGCTTCCGAGCTGTGGGATTGGAAGTAGTTTTTCGAGCCAGAGGATGTCCTGTTGAGTGTGGCAGTGAGCAAGAGCAGGTTTCTCTGTCTTTTTTTGGCTCTCGTCCTTGTTTCTGAGGCGTATTTTCCAAGGAGTTAGTTCCACGCACCAGATGCATAGCGAAGCATTGAGACATCTACAACGACTTGGAGAGGTTTGCGCGACACGGCGCGATGCAGTATGCACACTGTTTCATTACACCGCAATATGCGGCAGGGCCTGTATCCTGTGTCCGAGGTGTCGCCGGCAGCCAGGAGTACTACCCTCAGGCATGCGCACATCGCTGCGCTTGCGAGTTGTGCTTTTCAACTGCTTTCTGGGCAAGCAACGCCAACGGCTGTGACCTCAAGACGGATGCGATTCCTTTTTTTACGGTGTGATGCTTTGCTGCAGATCACCTCGCTGTTATCGGGTGGCGTTGATCGTGGTGAGATTTCAAAGCTAGCGATCGACGTCATCACTACAGCACATTTTAGCATATTTCAGCCATGCTGACGATGTCGAGGATGTCGGCCATGCTTCTGAAGATGGCGATCACGCCCGCTGATGGTAAAGGGTTTTGGGCGATGATTAAGACGCATTTTTTGATGATGTTGCTCGCGGTGAAAGCGCGGATGTGAGTGTGCGGTGGTATGTTGTGGTGAAGAGTCACATAAAATTCACCTGCACTGCCATCCGTCACCTGTCCAGCCCTGCCACTAGTTGTCACTACTGAGTGAGGCGCTATGCGTTGCTCCAGTGCTCGTCCTAGTGTTGTTACCGGCTGTTATGAGAGGCGTCTTGGCGAAACCTTACAGCAGGTCTCCGCTTCTGCAGCCAAGGAGTAAGTAATTACTGCCGCCACGGACTACGAATATGTCTTTACAACCGTGACGTGCGACTACTTACGGACGGCCACCACCGTCATGAGATGCATTTGCGTGGCAATGCGCGGTTGTGGACTTGACAGAATTTCTCTTGCAGGCCCGAGAATAAGGTGGGTTTCAGCCGGCCCGCTCGGGGCAATGTGCGGGATTGGTTGTAGGAGACGGTCGCAGCTGCACATGGCGTCGGGCATGCTCGATGTTATGCCTCTGTAGAATCTGAAAGCTTGCATATCCATACCATGACTACGATCGAACAGGCTGGCCGATGACATCTCGCCGACAAACTCATCAAAGTCTTTGAAGTCTATACGGTCCTTCCGCTCATCAACGAATCTGGGCATAGCATTGGGAAGTGAGGTGGGTGAGGGGGAATGAGGATGACACAGCGCCCGCTTTTCTAGGACATTCCTCTGAGTTCAGCGGACCGTTGTAAGCAGCATGTCTTACCAGGCGCTCGACAGATTGAGAACCCGGCAGATGTGGGAGTTTCAGGAAAGAAGGGCCGTGATGCAGAGCCATCTTATATGGACCTTGAACTCAGGCCCTGCTTTCTGAAGGCCCCCATTTGTGCCACCGACAACCGAAGCCTCAGAACCTCACCGCTGCCAAAGCCGGCGAACTGTTCATTGCTGTTCATTAGACCCAGCCTATACGGGGTTTGGGGCCTTGTTTGCGGGGGCCGTGAAACTGATGATTACGCTCCTACTGTGCAGGCTTTGATGTTTGTATTCTGGAGCCCTGAGTCGC